TTGTTGTCTGTGTTTGGAGAAATTTGTAGGCTGGTAGTTGTCATTGCAATTGAGTATTCTTCAGTTTCTATGGGGATGGGGACATAGATGGAGCAGTGACACTAGAAAATATGAAAGAGTACTTATGGAGGTCTTTTATATGCAAAATTCAGATATTTAGTTACTTTTTTCCTTATGCAAAATTGTTAATTTGTGACATGCTAAATGTGCTAAATTTCTATCACAAACTTTGAAACATTCTGAATAGAAGCAAACATAAGCTGTGCTTTAGCCAAGTATTAATCAGCTGAGTGTTCTTGTAGATAACTCTTGAGTGGAGATGTTTCACTAGTTATTTAGTGCTATCCCAATCTCTAAACTTTACTACCCTGAGGCATGAATAATGAGTCCTGAATCTACATTCGAGGGACTGCAATACACACACTAACATACACGTCTCTCACAAGGAGCCAGATTTAGGTGTTGGTGGACATTGTGTTGAGTAAAACAAAGAAGAAAATATATCCATCTTTTTTTTTTTTCTGCTAACTGGACCTAGGCAACCTTCACACCTGCCTCCTTAGAATTGCATTGTCCACTTCCTTCCTTGTCATGTGTCTTCCCAGAGGTTGTCAAAGGATATTATCTTGAGAAATGTGTTATACTATATCTTTTGTTTGGAGCCACACCAGATTATCTCGATTGTAAATTCCTAACTGCCCAGGAATGACCTCTAGTGGTACGTGGGGTACATAGTGTACTTGGTCAAACCCAGATAGTAACTTGTTGAGATGCTTGGGGTTGCTTACATCTCTGAATATAGCTAAAGTTGTGTAAACTTTTAAGCTTTAGTCACGGTGGGGAAGAAAATGATGCAGAAAATCACTTGTCTTGCACCTTTCAAGTAAGCTAGCCTTTCTCGTCAAAACTGCCTCACCACCATATGAAGAAGTCTTCCTCTTTTTTTTTTTTTTTTTTTTTTGGTGAGCGGACACCAGTAACATCTCACAACAAATTGTGAGACTTGTTGTTACTGTGTTTGGCATATTCGATAGCACAGGGGGTAGGGCATTCGCCTTACAAGCGGCTAACATGGCCGACCCGAGTTCGATTCCTCTGCCCCTCTCGGAGAGCCCAGCAAGCTACCGAGAGTATTCGATATGCCAAACACAGTAACAACAAAGTCTCCAATGGAGACGTTACTGGGCCCGCTCGAGCAAATCGACGATCAACGGGAGGGCCTTTACCTTTCCCTTTACCTTTTTTTGGTGAGGGGTGGCTAAGAAGGCCTTTGATTCTGTTGAGACAGAAGCGGTCATTGAAGCCCTAGCCAATCAGGGCATTCAAGGCCAATACATCAAGATCCTCCGTGCTGTATTGTGGATTCACTACCAGGATCTCACCATTCTACAAAGAAGTGATCATCCATGTCATGAGAGGGGTTCGGCAGGGTGATACCATTTCACCGAAACTCTTCAGTGCCACCCTCGAGAACATCATGCGACGACTGGAATGGGAAGGAATGGGAGTGAAGATAGATGGTCGGCAATTACACCACCTCCGCTTTGCTGATGACATTGTTTTAATAACACCAAACATCAGCCAAGCAGCACAAATGCTGGCCGACTTTGACCGTGAGTGTGGAAAGGTAGGACTACAGCTGAATCTTACGAAGACAATGTTTATGAGAAACAGCCTCGTTCCTGAACTCCATTCGCTCTCAACAGAACGACCATCTCCGAATGCAACAGCTATGTGTACCTAGGTTGAGAAGTCAACATGACAAATGACCTGGCACCCGAGCTGCGCAGGAGGAAGAGAGCGGCTTGGAACACCTTCAAGAACGTCGAAGAAATAGCTAAGAGGACGAAGAACCTCCGGCTCCGGGCACATCTCTTTGATTCCACTGTTCTTCCTGCATTAACATATGCCTCTGAGACCTGGACCCTGCGCAAACAGGATAAGAATGCTATTTGGGTCTCCCAAAGAAGAATAGAAAGAGCTATGCTTGGAATATCACGTTTCACTCAAATGAGAGAAAGAATCCGGAGTTCCGACATCCGTCGACGATCAAGAATCAGGGACGCTGTCTCATTTGCCAAGGTGTCAAAAATCAGATGGGCTGGTCACGTAATGAGATTTAAAGACGACCGTTGGACTAGAGCTGTTACCTACTGCATTCCATGGGATGTCAAAAGACCGCGTGACCGCCCACCTACCAGATGGTCAGACTTCTTTGTCAAGATCATGAACGATCGGTTTGAGGCCCTTCATGTTCCCGGAGCGAACAGATGCCATTGGGCTACACTAGCACGCGACAGGGACAAATGGAGACGTTACTGGCGCCTGCTCGAGCAAATGGACGACTAACGGGAAGTTAAGTGATTAAGTGATTGGTGAGGGGTGGTCTCTGCCTTCTATGTTTGGGGCTAGTTTTAGGTAATACCTAGCAACTTGCAAACTAACACCTTGGAAAGAATTGCAGAGTATGGGAGGATAAAAGTTATAGGATGAACTAAGCTTGCATCTATAGGTTTTAGACTGATAATAAATGGAATTTCTTTTTACCCAGTTGACTTGGGATACTATTTTGGATTTTTACTATAGGTTATGTCAATGTTGGCAAAGCTTTTCTGTGAAAGACCAAAGAGTAAATGTTTCAGTCATCATGGGCCATGTGGTTTCTGTCAGAGCTCGTCAGCTGGGCCGTTGTAGTAGTGCAAAACAGCTTCAGGCCGCTTTCATTACTGGGCATGACTGTTTCAGTAACACAGTTCTTGATGGACCAGGGCGCAGACTGGGCTTATGGTTTAACTTGGGGCTATCTTATTGTTTTTTTTTTTTTTGTTATTGTTGTTGTTGTATTAAGTTAAAGTGAATCCCAGTATAAGTTACGTGGTTTGGAAAACAAACCATTGTGTTTACTTAATTTTGGTGGTTCCCTCCCAGATATCTGTGACTGAACGTCAAATAAACAAGATGGACAAAGAAACTGTAGCAGGAACTGTCCTGGGAAATTTGATCAGGAAATCTAAGCCAGGTGATGGGAGAATAAAGGTATGGGAGCACCAAAAGGAAGAAACTAGTTAAAATTTCAAGATAGATATTTTATGAGATGGATCTGGGGCATGAAACAAATAGGAAAAAAAAATGTAGTTATATCCTGTATCTTGGAATCAAGACCTTACAGCAATAGACTAATTCTAGAATCAAGTAATTGTATAGCCAGAAGGTTGGAATGAAATAATAGGAAGGAAGATTCTAATGTAGAATAAGCAATGAAAAGATTTAGTTTTAGAATCAAACCTCCTGGTTGGAATTTTGCTTCTAATCTTTTTACTCTGGATGAATTTTCAGTCTTTTTCATATCAACTTTATTTTTCTTATCTGGATTAGAGGGCTAATAGTTATGATATTAATGAGACTATGTTTGTTGAATGTCCAGTATGATACTTGACTCACGTTTACTTCCTATGCAACAACTATTATCATTAACTTGGTTTGTATTGCTCTATGACAGAGTAGCTGTTAAAGCTATTTTGAGTGGACATTAGACTAAATATTGCCATATCCATGTCTTCTTATCAATGTCATTTCAGGTTTCTTTATTTAATTTAATTTATTCATTTATTTAAGTTTTGGAGTTTTGGGTCATACCCAAGAATGAGATGCATGTCGAAAGTAGACTATGGACTGAACATGTTTGCCACTCAATGCCTCTTTTGCAGACCACAACACCCAAAAGGAGAGAGAGAACACAGGGGATTGCCCTGCCACAGAGACGGGGGGATGGGGGGATGGGGGTGGGAGGGATATTATCCATGGTGGTGGAAAATGGGCACTGGTGGAGGGATGGGTATCTGATCATTGTATAATTGAAACCAAAGCACAAAAAATTGTAAATCTACAACTTTAAAAAAAATAAAATAAAATAAAGGGAAAAAAAAAATTAAAAAAAAAAAAAAAAGAATGCTTAGTGCCTGCTCCTGGCTCTTTTCTCAGGGATCACTCCTGGCAACGCTCAGGGACCATATGTGGTGCCAAGAATTGAATGTTGGTACCATGCAAGGCAAGTAACTTAATGCCTGTTCTGTATCTCTAGCCCCTGAATTAACATTTTTTAAACCATTAGTACTCAGTGACTTTTTTTCTCTGATAATTATATTTTGAGGTTAATACAGAATGATTATTAGAAAGACGTGAAATGATCCCCTTCCTCTTGGTAGTCTTTAAATTGAAAGACAAGTTTGGTTTGTATCTGATTATGCTACATCAAAATTACTGTTTTAGTTCATGTTGTGATAAAGAATACGTGACAATGGTTGCCATTGTTCTATTTAAGACTAATCATGTGTCCCTGAGCATTGCTATGTGTTAGCCTGGTGCCCTCCAAATACCAGTACTAGGTCCTTAAGTTTCAGCAGGAAAGACCCTTATTAATAAAACAAAAACAAAATAGAAGTGCTCAGAGAATTGGGCAGTGGGCCACACAGAGTTAAAGTTATTGGAGACTGCTATTTTTGCTAATATACTTCCTTAACTTTTTATTTTTTTGAAAACGATTGAAGATGAGCATATGACTCTACATACTAATTGTAATGCATTCCTGTACCCCATAATCTATGAGAGTGTTCACCTCTGCACTGTGCCTGCCCAGCTGTTGTCTTGAACAATTATCAGCAAGTTATTATTCCGGTATGAGCTGTGTCATGCTCAAGAGTGGGATGAAAAAATGTTAATGAGCATGCATGAATGTTGCTGATGAAGGTTAAGTGGTTGCAGATACACTCTCTGCATTCTTTCCTTTGAATGTTCAGGCTGAAGCAATGGGTTCTGATGAGGGATTCCAAACAAATAGTGCTGATTGACAGTTCTTGATTTAACATTAAAATGATAGCTGAAGGCAAATTCTGTGTTTCAGCTGAATAATAGACACAGTGCTCTTGACCCCTGGTGCAGCTCCATACTGCAGCGTCAGTTTTACTTTACAGTGTTCCTTTTTTCCCCCTCCTATTGTATAATATTTGCCAATTCTTTTGAAATTTTTTGCTACTCATTTTTCTCTCAAGTCGTCACAATAGGGTATTGGGAAAAGTTTTTAATTAGCCATAATCGTGCCTTGGATAAACCTCATTGACTACGACACTGCTACTGTGCAAAGCTTTACCACTCATTTAAAAAATGTTGTCCCTGGTGGCGATAGTATCATTTTAAAAAAGCATTAGATGTCCATTATATACTTATATCTGTAGTATATTAACTTGGTAATTAAAATAGAATGAAATTAAATGATAATATATGGTAGCCATTGAACTTGGTGTGAGCCTGTACTCATCAACAGTGTGTTGTTTCTCTGTTTATCATTTTGCATGTATTTGGAAAGGATTACCCATTTATTTGTATGCTAATTATATTGGCTGTGTATATATTCTATTGAAATTTTTGTATTTTTTTGGACACTAAATTTCAAATGCTAAATATTGAGCAGTAGATTTGCATACATTAAAAAATGGGGATACAGAGGAAAGACTACCAATGCTGGTGTTGATGAGGCCTTTCAATTTTTTTTTCCCCATTAGTAATCCAGAACTTGTCCCAAATAGAGAATGTGCTTTCTAAAATGTATAATGTCATATAGATATCTTACTAACTTACTTTTGTAGATAGCACAGTACGTAAGGATCACAGTAGTTTAAATTGTGTTAAAGTAGCACTGTAGCACTGTTCTCCCGTTGTTCATCGATTTGCTCAAGCGGGTCCAGTAACATCTCCATTGTGAGACTTGTTACTGTTTTTGGCACATCAAATACGTCACGGGTAGCTTGCGGGTAGCTTGCCAGGCTCTGCCGTGCAGGCGAGATACTCTCAGTGGCTTGCCAGGCTCTCAGAGAGGAGCGGAGGAATTGAACCCGGGTCGGCTGTGTGCAAGGCAAATGCCCTACTGCTGCACAGCGGTAAAGTAAAGGAGAAATGTTAAATATAGAATTGTAATGCTTGTTGACTATATAGCAGTCATTTCATCATTTAATAGATGAGAAACTTGAGAATTGAACATACTAGACTGAAAACCTTTGGATTAAAGATTAAACCCTCACTTGGTGTATCAGAATTAGTAGTTGATCATTAAGAAATATTTTCTTTTTTGTATTCTATGGAGATGAAGCTCCTAAATCATTGTTGATTTAAGACCAAACATCCAGGTTGTATTTTTTTATTTTTATATGAGCATATTTTAGTATGAAATCTTTCTTTCTAAAATGTATAGGATTTTTTTCCCTAATAAAAATGCCTGTATAACCCTGGTTTCTGGAGGAAATAGGACAGGAAACCTACTTGTACCTTTGCAATTGTTCCCACATTTATCCCTGAAACCTATGTTCCTCTGTAGTAGAGAGTCTCCTTTCATTGAGGTCAGTAGCTTTATGATTAAGGACTAATTCTCAGAGCTCCATAATTTCTGTTGCATTAAGTCGTTAAGTCTTTGTGCACGTGTGGCTTTTCCCATCCCCTCCATTTCCCCTCCCCCACCCCATAAGTGAAATTGGCTGTACAAATTATACTCCCTGAGGCTAGCAATTCTTAATATTATGCCTAGGACTGCAATCAGATACAATCAACAACAAAACTCTGGGTTGGTTATGGAGTCCGTCATGGCAAGTCAGGTGGCCTAAAATAAGAAGCTAGTGTCTGCTTTTACATCTTATAATAGTTATCTGACTAGAGAGAGTTTTTCAGGTATCTCATACAATCTTACCAAAATTAAGCAAAAGAAGTCATTGTATCCAGATTTAGAAGAGAAACTGTTCTTTAAATTTACTATTTCTTGTCTTACAATGAGTTATTACTTAGGGGTAAAATATAGACCCCCCCCCCCAAAAGCATATAAAGGTAAAGGTAAAGGCCCTCCCATTGATCGTCGATTTGCTCGAGCGGGCCCAGTAACGTCTCCATTGGAGACTTTGTTGTTACTGTGTCTGGCATATCGAATACTCTCGGTAGCTTGCCGGGCTCTCCGAGAGGGGCAGAGGAATCGAACTCGGGTCGGCCATGTTGGCCGCTTGTAAGGCGAACGCCCTACCGCTGTGCTATCGCTCCAGCCCATCTGCCTTGCACGCAGCCAACATGGCCCAAAGCATATATGCTCATGAAAATAAATATATGTAGCACTCCCGTTGTTCATCGATTTGCTTGAGTGGGCACCAGTAGCGTCTCCATTGTGAGATTTGTCGTTACTGTTTTTGGCATATTGAATATGCCACGGGGAGTTTTCCGGGTTCTTCCATGTGGGAAAATATATGTATAAATTATAATTTTGGTCACTGTCACTGTCCTCCCGTTGTTCATCGATTTGCTCTAGCGGGCCCAGTAACATGTCCACTGTGACACTTGTTACTGTGTTTGGCATATTGAGTACATCATAGGTAGCTTGCCGGGCTCTCCCGAGAGGGGCAGAGGAATCGAACCTAGGTTGGCCAAGTCGGCCTTGTGCAAGGCAAAATGCCTTACCTGCTGTGCTATCACTCCAACCCATAATTTTGGTAAGAAAGTTTAAAACAGCTTAAATACTTATTAATAAAAAGCAATTGTTGAATTTATTTCACTGATAATTTCCTATGAAGTATTTCAAAGAATGCAATTGCTTCTTATATATAAATATGGAGAAAGTCCAGTGTTTGCTTTTTATAAAACAAGAAAAATATAAAAGATTATATGGTAAAAACTCATTTGTTAAAAGATAAAAATCTTAAACTGTCTTCATGTTTATACTCTGTGTGTATGTATACATATATATACATACATAAACAGAGATGTATATATGTATACATGTAGTATAATATAGTCTTTCAGCACATTAATAGCCCATAGCTTTCATTGCTAGTGGTTATTATTCTGATGGTTTCTTTGTGGCATGTATAGTAAAATGTAAGATGTAAGAAACTTGGTAATGCGTTTCTGTAATTTTTGAGTTATTTTAAGATGAATTTAAAAATTTTTTATAATGCAGTTCCTGAATAATAGAGCAATTAAATGCAATAGTTTGGCTTTTGTTTTGTTCTGTTTTTTGACCACCAAAGTACATTCAGAGGTAACTCCTGGTTCTGCACTGAGGGCTCACTCCAGTGATGGAACACTGGTCAGCTGGGTGTAAGGCAAGTGCCTTGTGTTCTGTAGTATCACTCTATTTCTTACGATATATGTTTAGTTTAAACATTTTTAAATACATTTTATGTGTATTGTTTAGATTAAAATAAGAAAGTGACTTTGCCTTAGCATAAATGAATCTCAGAAATGAAACAAGATATGAGTTATTCCTTGTCTTTCTAAAGTCTCAGCTTAGAAATAACCTTAGCTTCCCGAAGTGAAAGAAATTTTTCTCAAGTATATTACATACACAGGGTTCCATTTATTCAGCAAACTGCATTCAGAAAGCAACATATTTGATAGTTAATTATTCCAAATGGTGCTGGTGATCAAAAGGGACACCCATTTGTAATGAAGGGAATCTGCGTAATGGCTATCCTGAAAAATGTTTGCTCAAGTGTGAGGATAGAAGTAATTGATGTAGTGAAGAGTTGCATATATCTTCCTCAGGCTTAGAGTAGCTTGTGGAAAGCTGAGAAAGCACTGTGAGTGTTTAAAGAACTAATAGGGCTAAGCATGGTTGCACTGTGTTAAATCTGCTAATTTGAAGGTATTACATGAGCATATAGGAACACAGGATTCATGTTTATGCTTTTGTATGTGTATATTAGGAAGAAATTTGTTTCTGGCCAATGTTGACAACTTATTATTTAATATTAGGAATATAGTTTTGCGGCTATATCGATTTATTTCTACTAGAATTTTGCAAAGGCTTAAGTGCAATGTGAATTTTCAATCATTATTTGAAAAGGCTAATGAAGCATAGTTCATATTTCCCAAAATAAGATATCCACTGATGTTTTTCACTTACGTGCTTCCATTATTTCTTATAAAGCAAGGCACTCTGGTGGAGGCATGTTGTCCAAAATGACATCAAATCATTTTTCCTTTACAACTTATCAGTGTTGCCAGATGGTCACTGGTAGGTGGTTATTCTATGATGGTTCACTGACCTCTGCTCTGAGATTTCCAATTCCTTTCTTTTTTAAATTAATTTTATAAGGTAGTTCACAATATTTGATTACATTTAATATTCAAACACCAATCCCACCACCATTACGCCTTCCCACCACCATATTTTGGATCTTACCATCCCGAGCTCCAACCCATGCTCCAAAGGAGAACTGAAATATATTTTGTATAGTTTGTTATAAAAAACCGCTGAAAATGCTACAAAAAATTTCCTCGGAGGAAAGAGTGTGAAGATTGTTGTATTTCACCCGGGGCTCATTAAGCCCTTCTATAAGGGATCACTAACATGTTGTTAAAGGTTGAGCCTTGTGCTTGAGCTTTATAAATATTTCCCTCTAAGATTGATTGCCTCCTCCTTTGAACCCCATCAGATGTGGTGCTTGGAGTATGGGTAGGGTGTGTGGTATGAAGTGTTGCTCGGCTGCACAGTCCAGGAATAGGTTCGCTCATGGGTGAGGCTCAGCCCAAGCACATGTGAGCCTGACAGCAGTTGAGTTCTGGAGATTTTCTGCTGCTGGGGCTGGGTTCATTGGGGTGGGAAGGGTTCTCACCTGCCTCTCTCCAGGCGCCCCAAGTGGAACAGCCTGGTGCAGGGTACAGCAGCATGGTTATGGAGAGTGTCCTCCAATTCCTTTCTTTTTTTTTTTTTTCTTTTAGGTCACACCCAGCAATGCACAGGGGTTACTCCTGGCTTTGCAGTCAGCAATTACTCCTGGAGGTGTTCAGGGAACCATATGGGGTGTTGGGAATCGAACCCAGATCGGCTGCGTGCAAGGCAAACACCCTACCCGCTGTACTATCAATCCAGCCCCCAATTCTTTTCTTTTAATCTTTCAATTCCTTTTAGTCCTTGGGCCCAACTCTACAAGTCTAGGGTAGATAGGATTTGCACCTCCTATGCCATTGGGTCTAAAGTCTTTTCTTCTCTGAGATCCAAGTGAGTTGTCTTTTGTTCCCAGAAGTATTTGTTTTTGTCTTAATGTCTAAGACTCTTTCCTTACCTTGTGTTCTGTAGTATACCTTTCTCCTGCTGATGGGGGGGATCCCAT